CACATATTTGCTTCGTAATCCGTAAAAGCACTTCTGAAACCATGGTTTGGTTTCTATCCAAACACCCCTTCAATGTGAGTTTATGATTCTCATGATTAAATCAAAGACACTTTGCTTCAAAGAATTTACAGAAGAGTTCGAAGAGACCAACTATTTGGTATGCATGGTTGTGACCGCATCCGTAACCAAATATCCTGATATGAGGAAGATTCAAGAAGATATTGCTTGTCAGCTAGGATTTACTGTTAAGAACAAATCCAAAGAGCCAGAGAATTGATTCATAGTATTAAGAACGAGCAGAATATTCTCATTGTACTTCGTGACCTGTACAAAGGACGTGACCTTAGTAACATAGGAATTCCATATGGAGCAGATCATACAAGCTAAAAGATATTACTCACTTCTACATCTGAAGATATGTTGTCCAAACACATGTATACCCAGATAAATTTCATGGTCTGATGATTCTCTTCAGCTATAAAAGCTTTAAACTTTTGTTGACATTTTCGGAATCATATATGTTATAAGGGACTTATTATATGTCTTCTTTTTTGTTTTTGTTTTTCTTGTGATAGGATTTTGTATAATAATAATATGTCTCGCTTCCGTTCTCTAATAATTTTTCTTAGTTTTCGGTGTAACACTTGGAAGCTTGTGTTATACATATAATCTTTTTAAGGATATATGTGGAAGATCACTGTTCTGGAAATGTGTATGGCGTTGATGTTAATTCCACAATATGGGTCCCACCGAGTTGAAATTAATGACTCTATGTTGACTTGCTTTCATAAACTTACACACTTATGGCAACGCACAATGTCAATTTGGAACATCACAAAGGACCACATACATGAAGCCCAGTCCCATGGTTAAGGTAGAATATGCAATTCTGCCGGTTTCTGTGTTCGTGTTTTGTTATTATTGAATTGATTTTGATTTTTGGTTTTGGCAAGAGTGATGGTAAAGGAAACAGAGTTTGGATTAAATTAATTTCACAATAAACAAAGAGAAGTGTTCCAAGTCAATTTTTCCCTGTCAAAACATGATCTCATACCACACCAAATAAAGCGTTTTAATTTCTGCAACACAAGTATTGCTGATCTCACTTCTGCTCTTATTTATCTGTCATAACTCTCAAGTCACTCTCTACGTTTTAGGGTGTGTTTGGATAAAACCAAACCGTAGTTTAGAAAAGTGATTCTAGAGAATAGATTCTGTGAAAAATAGATTCTGGAGTGATTTTGAGAAGTGAGAGTATTTGGATAGTTGTTATCAAAAGCACTTTTTATATACACAAATTACTAAAAAAAAAGACATAAGTTAATATGATAATTACAGAAAAATAGATTTTATGATATATTTTAATTTGAAGGAATAAAATTGTTAATAATATATTTTTTACCAACATAATTAATAATACATAAGATAATATAATTAATAAATAATTAATATGTATATATATTTATAAAATATAAGATTAAATATGTTTATAAAAAAAACATGTTTATAAAAAAAATAACAAGATACATATCTTATAGGCTCTCACACTCTCTCTTTATTCTCCAAAAGCAAAAAATTTTTGCTTTTTCCAAAACCATTGTTTTGGAGTCAAAACCATGGTTTTAACCCAAAACCATGGTTTGGTTTTTGGGATGACTGTTTGGGCAATTTTCTACCCAAACCATGGTTTGGGCAAACATCCATGTTGATGATATCCTGGTTACTGGTTCCTCTGCCACTACTATTGCTGATCTCACTCCTGCTCTTAATCTTTCCTCCAATCAAAAACCTTTGCAAATTACACTATTTTTTGGGTGTTGAAGTGCTTCCCTCTTCTTCCGGTCTTATTCTGTCACAACAGAAATACATTCTTGACCTTCTTTCTCGAGCAAATATGTCCAATGCCCGTCCTGTTTCTACTCCCTTGGCTTCAACTTCCCTTCTGTCTGCCCATCTTGGACCTGATTTTTCAGACCCTCACCATTTTTGCAGCATCGTTGTCAGTCTGAAATATCTTAGTTTCACTAGACTGGACATTAGTTTTGCTGTCAATCAAGTCTGTCAGTTCATGCATTCTCCAAAAGATCACTACTGGACCGCCGTTAAATGCATCCTGCGTTATCTTCGCGGTAGCTCTCATTTTGCTCTCCAGATTACCCCCTCCTCTTCCACCACTCTGTCTGCCTTCAATGATGATGATTGGGGAGGTAATTCTGATGATTGTCGATCCACTGGTGCCTTTGCCATTTACTTTGGACCTAACTTGGTGGCCTGGAGCTCTAAGAAACAACCCTCTGTGGCTCGCTCTAGCACAGAGGCCGAATATAAAGCCATTGCCATGGCAGCTTCTGAACTTATCTGGCTTCAAAGTCTTCTCTATGAATTATGCATATTTCTTCCTGAGGCACCATTCCTGTTCTGTGACAATCTTGGTGCTACCTACTTAGCAGCTAATCCTGTCTTTCACTCGCGTGCCAAACACATATCTCTTGACTACCATTTTGTCCGAGAACGGCTCGTAGCTGGTCTTCTTCATATCCTTCATGTCTCCTGCATAGATCAAATTGCTGATATACTCACCAAACCACCACCTGCCTCCCGGTTTGCCACTCTGAGATCGAGTCTCATTGTGTCTCCAACCCAGTTCCACTCGCGGGGGAGTATTGAAGCGTATGAAGATGTCAAGCCCAAGTAGCCCACATTGTTCATATCAGATATGTTTCAATTAGTATTCTAGATTCCTCTTTTCATATATGCGTGTCTGTTTCTGATAGGATATGAATTCTATAAATAAGATGTTACTGTAAACATTTGATATACAACAATCAAATATACCTTTCAGAGCACTATGACTTTGTCCTTCTGTTTTGCATCGGTTTCTTTTGCTTTTTGTCTCAAAAACAAGTATTCACATTGGCTTGTCATAGGAAAATATAAATCACGAAACTACATTCCCGTTTCTGGGATCTTTGACTCCTCCATAGTTGACATGCGTTTCGTGTCTAAATTCTATTACTTGTTCCTCTTAGAGGAGACTGTGTAAAAGAAGCTAATTCCCCGAGATCAAGTCAGCAACCCTTGGTCTCCCTGAGAAAAGTACTCCTCTGTTTCTATACACTACCTCCTGTCATATTTATAAGATCTTATTTATAGTTTACAAACGAAGTCTTATAAATAGAACCAAAGGTAGTATTTATCTTCCGCTCTTGATGAATTGCTTGTGCCACGGCAAATTCTCACATCACTACAGGATTAAGTGTGGGTGGTAGCTATTATTGCCGGAATGATTGGATTTGCTGCAACTTCACAGCATCTTCTTCCTCATTATCTCACTCCACGAAAATCGCAGAGACCCAGGCCTCAATCGCAAGACAAGAACCAGAACAAAGCTGGGTGCATAGAACAAGAACAAATGATGTCCAATTCCGATGGTATTAATGCTTTGGACGAGTTTAATACTATTCTCAAGAGTTTGAACGATCACTGTAACGAAATGGAGGGTATAATATGTGAACAATATGGGTGCATGTCCAATTCAAATGTTTCTGATGCTTTAGTATTGAGAAGGCCACTTCTGAGTAATGCTATGGAGGCATTAGCTGATCCTAATATTCACTTAATCGGATTTTATGGCTCACATGATGAGATCAAAGACAGTTTGCTTGTAAAAGTTTGTCGAAGAGTCCGCCGAGACAAACTGCTTGATATGGTTCTGAGTGCAACTGTAACGAAGAAACCTGATATGAAGATGATTCAACAGGAGATTGCAAGCCAACTAGACCTCACATTTGATTACAAATCCTAAAATGGAAGAGCCCAAGAATTGATTGAGAGGATAAAGGTTGAACAGAAAATTTTGATCGTACTCTGTGACCTTCATAAGGAGCTTGAGTTGGATAAGGTAGGGATTCTTCCATACAGCAGAGATCACATAGGTTGCAAGATATTACTCATTTCTACAACTGAAGATGTGCTATCCGACCACATGTATACCCAAAAGAATTTCATGGTCGAATGATTCTCTTAATGCATGAAAATTTTAAACCTTGGCTGAGAGTTTCCAGATCATATATGTTGCAAGGGGCTTATTGCATGTTTATTCCTTTTTACTTGCCAGGGTTTTGTATAATAATAGTATGCGTTGCTTGTGTTCTCTAATAATATTGCTAGTTTTTGTTCAGTGTAAGACTTCAGAAGTTTGTATTCTATAATCTTTTATGGAAAGTCACTGTTGTGGAAATGTGAACGGAGAAGTTGCTATGGGTCCTTCCCATTTGAAATTAACCTGTCGACATGCCTTTATAAATTCACACACACACACAGGGCCACAAAGTTCTTACTTTTCCCCTCGCCGTTTGAGATCATCATTCTTCTAACAAAGAGCTGCCATTTTTTTTGGCCTGAACAAAGAACTGACATTAAACATTAGTAATTTATTTAGTTATTCTAGAATTATAACACAATATATATCATGTCTAGTATTACGTGTTTGGTACTTAAACGAAGTGTTGGATCATCACAAAGGCCTGTATATCATGCCCAGTCCCATGGCCCCTCTCTGTATTGCTATTGCAAATGTAGAATGTTCAGTTCTGTCAGGCTAAGTGTACGTGTTTGGTTATTATTGAATTCGTTAAGATGATGAGACTGGATATATATTATATATATTGATATGATGCAATGCAGTGGACAAATTCTGGTTTAATGAGTCCAAAATGACGACCCTGTGGAGGGTCTTTCATTCATCTCCTGACTTTTCATTCAAGTCGCGAGTGAACTAAGTCTCAACTCACAAATAGAACAGAAGAATTGATCACTAAATAATCGACTAAATATAATCCTAATTAAATGAGTAACTTTTATAATTAAGCACAGAGCAGTAGTTGAAAGAGTTTGATGAGATAGAATATATGTGCAGCAAAGATGATAGACAACTATTTCCTAACTGCACCCATAAGGGGAAAAAGGGCTGGAAATTACCATATATGGAAAAGAGAAGCTCAATGTGGCGAGCTTTGCTTAAATTGCTGCACCACTTGTAAGATAGAACTGACTGCTTGTATTAAAGAGAGAAGGAGGAGCAGAACTCCAGCAATGGAAGCAGCACATTGCCAAGGAGTGTTGCAGTAATCATGTGTCAAAGTGGCCTTCAGGTTATTACATGGACTTTCACAAAAGGCATTCAAGTCCTCGCAAATATCTGAGTAATGGGGGGTGAAATTTACGTGTGTGACATTCTTCCAAAGACTATTGAATAAGTTGGCCGCAGAATCGGGTTCTCCTAGCCAGTTAGTGATGACTCCTTCCTGAACTAAGAGATTCACATCATTGCTTGTGTTGATAAGGAAGTCCATAATGGCAACATAGTCAGTGATGTAAGAATGAAAAGGATAGTGACACTGCTCCAACGCCACTAGATTGCGAAGCAAAGTTTCAGTCAAACCATTCACTTTCAATTCTGGTATTTCAAGGATTTGTCCTGAAAATTTGAAGTCTAGCAAGTTGCTTCGGCTTTTACTTTTCCTGAATCTCACCCCTGCTTCAGCTAACTCGGTTGCACTCCGAAGATGTGTCACTGATTTGGCCAATCTCCCTGGCTGACTACTCAATGATGGTAAGTGAAATGTTCTAATCAAATCTGTGAAGTGCCAAATGGGAACATCTCCATGGTCTAATGTCATTTCCTCATATGTTATTTTCTTATAGTTATAATGGGTGAAATAGTCAAAAGTGAGACGACGAAATGAAGGAGGATATCGAAGGGTGTCAGCCATGCTAGCGGGAAAAATTCGACTATATAGCCTTTGAAGATCAGGAAAAGGCAGCTGATTCTCAAGCAAGAGCAAATCTATTGTTACAGTATTGACTTGCCATGGCTTTAACTTAATAACACCATTCCGTTCACCATAATATGACCCCCAAAATAGCTCAAATAAGAAACAAGAATCCAATAGAATCACCTTCACAAGTTCCTTAGGGCTAAGCTCAATAGGCTCTGAGTAATGAAGACGAACGCTAGGCTCAATCTCTTCTACAAAGCTGACTAACGTCTCCAAACTTATGGTACTGGAAATTCTTTGACAGAATTGCCTGAGATACAGACGCTTGACCATTACCACATCTTGTAGCCTAGGATGCCCATAGTGGAAGGGGCCAATAGAGATCACCTTTGGGGTAAAGCAATCTTCATTCAGCCTGCGTATATCATTCGGCACCCTGTAGATGCAGCAGCACTCAGCAGTCATGGCTGTTTCCGTTTGTTGAATCATCGAGGTCATTTCAATCACTAAATCGTTGTGATGATCACTGAGTGCCATCTAAAGGGGGAAAGAAAAGTGAGGGAGAAATCCACGAAACGTAATGAAAGAAGGAGGATTATAGTAGTAGTTCCCAGATCATATAGTTAAAGGAAAGAGGAAAAAGGACAAGAATAACAGATAGAGGAAATATTGTATTCATCATCCTTGAAATGTACAGAGATGATGAAACACATCCTTTAAAGACTTCTTGGTCGAACCATATCCGTTTAAATTAAATACATGATACAGCCAAAGTAAAAGGAATATGAAAAACAACTCACCCGCAATTGCAAAACTGCTTTCTCAGGGGGATGAATTGCCGTGAAGACTGAAAGGGTTGCCGTTTGGGTCTTGTTCCAGAAATGAGCTTGTTTTTATCCCATACCGTCTCCAGACTTTTATGGGCACAGAAATATCACTATTCCAAAACATAGAAAAAAAGAAAATTAGTAACATGCTTAAATTTTGGAAGCCGCTCAGTGGTTTCCAACTTAATTTCCATGAAGCCAATAGAAGAAGAGAAATTTCATATCAAAGAGAGGAAAGTCTCTAGAAATTAAACCGTCATGCAGCTTCGTCAAATGCTACCCGAAAAAAAAAAACCTGAGATTATTGAATGGAATAAAAATTATTTTAGAATATCGGGTTTTTAAAAAAATATTTTAGACTATTAAATGCATAAAAATTATTTCAAAATATTGAGTATTGTTTAAAAAGTATTTTAAAGTGTCAAATGCAATTAACTTTTAAAAAAAAGATTAAAATACATAAAACCATATAAATTTTAGTTCAATCACCTCCACATCTCTCCAACCGTTAAAAACTTAAAGTAAGAGCCCTAATGTTTCATAGTTTAACACTTTAACCATCAATTATCGCGTGGGTGCCCATTAGGCATGATGGTCCGAGTTGAAATTAGTGACCTGCTCCACGCGGTTTCATAATTGGCCCCCTATAAGGTAGGTCGTGCCCTCCCAGTCCTACGGCCCATGTTTTGCAGATCCAAAGATAAAGTTACATCCGTTTAGGATGGTGTTTGGAAACTTCAAAATTACTTCTTAAAATATTTTTTTTATAAATTGAGATAAATTTCTTTATATATTTATTTTATATATTATAAAAGTATTTTTAAAATTATAATTTTGCTTTTATTTAAATATCCCCTAAATTTACAATTAAGAATATTTATAAATACATTTTATGTAAATTAAAATAAAACTTCTCTCATAAAACTATTTATGCTTATAAATTGAGGTATGAGCTTTTTTAAATGAAGTTTCAAGTCCCAAACTGATGTTTTTAACGTTTTCATTGATCTGAAGAAAGGTACTGCACTTAATATTTTCATTTCGTACGAGCTCTAAATTCATTTCATGTGCAGCACTGCAAGATCATACTTGGGCGGTTAGTGCTTCTGTTTAGAGCCGAAAAAACGGGCCGAACCCGTCAGACCGGCTCCGTTTAGATTCTGAAATTATGAGGGCCGGACTTAATATTTTTCTCTTAAAATAGAAAATAAGTCTTGGAGGACCAAGGGCTTAAAAGGGCCCGCCCTGGAGGGCCGCGGGCCGGCCCTTTTAAACTCTTTTATAATTTTTTTTATTTTTAAAATTTTTTAATATAATTTTAATGTTATTAATTTTTTTACATTGTTAATAATATTTCAAATATTTAGTTATTATTATCATTTTAAAATTAAATTTAGTTTTAGACAATAATTTATCCAATTAAATTTTAAAAAAATGGGTTAATTTGGACTTTAATAATGATTTGATTTATATTATATGCATTGATATTTTTAAACTATATATATAGATTTGATAATAGAATATTTTTATACTTATATAACTTGTGATTCTATAATTTGAATTAGAAATTCATGAGTTTCAACAACAATGTTTCTCACATTAAAGTAAAATAATAGTTAGATTGCACAATTTAAAAATAAAATTCTTATAAAGAAGAAAACCTTGATATTTGTGTTACGAAAGAAAAGCATACTTATGAAAAAAAGTAATTAATTATAGTGATAATGAAGTTTCAAAAGATTAATGATAGTGTTTATTTATTGCACAATTGTATTATAGATAAAACTTTTAAATGTTGTTATCTTGTTAATGAATATTTTAGATGTTCTTAGATATTGATGAATATTTATATATGATGATATTTTATATTTGTGACTTAATTTTATTCATATTTGTGTTTTTTATTAATAATTTCTTGGTTTATTTTTATATTTTTATAAAAAAATATGATAAATATAAAAAAATAGTATTTTTTCTTAAACGGGCTAAAAGCCCGCGGGCCGGCCCTGGCCCTGTAGCTTAAGAGTTGGGCCCAGCAAATTGAGGTATTTTTAAAATTTCAGCCCTAGAGGGCCGATCCTTTTAAGCCCGTTAGCCCTAATTCCCGGCTCTACTGTTGTTAGCTTCTTTTTCGTCATTATCTGAATTTGATGGAAACACGCACATAAATGCACAAAAGAAAAAAAGTTCATAAGGCAATACGCACAGGATCACATAGGCCGCAGCGAATGCGACTTGAGTTTAACAGAAGTGTTAATTTCTTATAACATAATAAATCAATATTTAAATATTTATGAGAAGATATATCTATATTTAGTATCTAATAGTATTTTAAATATAATTATTTTTAACAGGAGAATACCTGTGTTACCAAAAAAAAATGATACAAAAAAAGTTAAAAATTATAATATTCCAACTCAGATATCTAAGAATTCAAAATTTCAAAGAAAAAAGTGATACTTAATTGAGTATTTTACAAATATAATCAAATGACTAAAATACCTTTCATATCAATTTTTTTTTTAAAAAAATATCAAATATGTTGTTCTCAATATATTTTTTTGTCATTATCAGTTCACAATTTATTAATAAATAATTTATCATCACTATTATATTTCTTGTTATTTGCTATTTAACACTTATCATTATCAATTCATAACTTGTTAAGAAACTTTTTGATACAAGAATATTTTTATTATTTAACTACATTTGTAAAATACCAAATCAAATATCACTTCTTCTTACAAAGTTTTGAATTCTTAGATGTCTAAACATTTTTTCAAAAAAGAAAATCACACAGGCTGCATGATATTACTCACCTCTACGATTGAAATGGTGTGTTATCTAACCACATGCATACCCAAAGAAATTTTATGGTTTGAAAATTCTCTTCCTTGGTAAAAGCTTCAGTGTTTTATTGAGAGTTTCCTTAAATATGTGTGTTGTTAGTGTTAATTATATGTGTGCTCTCCCTTCTTGTTTTTTTTCTTTTGGGACCATAAGATTATGTATAATAATGTGTACTACTTCGTCCCTTATTATAATATCTTTTTAATTAAATTACACAGTTTAAGAAAATAGTTAAAATTAGTTAAATGCAATTAATATGTAGCAAATATAATTTTTTTCCAAATATACCCTTATATATAAATGGGTAGATGTGAGAGAGTAAAAGTGAGATAAATAAAAAAAGAGAATGTATTAAATGTATTAAACTAGGGATAAAATAGGTGATAATGTATTAAATATTCAGAAAAATTTAAAAAGGATCTTATAAAAAGGAACAAATCTATTCAAAAAATTAGATCTTATAATAAGAGATGGAGGGAATATGTGTCGGACTTGGAAGCCTGTGGGGCGAAGAACGTCTCTTAGTTATTTTTTGTCTGCGTGATAATAATAGAAAATTAAAATTTAACTTTATTTTCATTTTTATTTTTGAAACTTCAAACTAATGATTTTAATTTCTAAATTTGACCTCATCTTAATTTTAGTACCTAAAATTTAAAACTAGTAATTTTTGTCTCTTAAATATGACTTCATTTTGGTTCGTCTTAAAATTTTTGTCATTCGACGGTGTTTTTAGTTTGTAAAAAAGGATTAAAACCAAAACAAAATTAAATTTTATGGAGTAAAATCACTTAATTCAAATTTCAGGGATCAAAATCACTTGTTTTAAATTTTGGAGATTACAATTAAAATGAAGTCAAATTTCTCAAACTAAAAATCATATTAACGCTAAAAAAAAAAAATCTTGAATTTCATAGTTCAATTATTCTATTTGTTTCAAAGAAGTTTCAGCTTTTTACTAAGAGTTTTCGAATTATAAATGTTGTCATGGGCTTATTTGTTTCCTCTTCCCCCCCCCCCTCTAAGGATCATGTATAATAAAATATTCTGTATCAATTACGTTTTTTAAAAAAATTTCGCTTAATTTTCAATATGTACGACTTAATTGAACAATCGATGAACCAGAATCTTGTCTATTTGAAAATTAAAAGAAATTGAACATGGGGAACTGGTGAACCATTAAAATGAACTAGCTGATTTTTTCCCAAATTTAAACTAGGTATTTAAACTTTGGTTTATGCTTAATTACATATACCTTAGAATCTGAAGCACAAGAAAGAAAGACAAGACAACAAGTGGATAGAAAGGAAGTTTATATTATAAAGATATAACTTAGAAAATAGTTTATATTATATTATCTCACCTCTCATAATTTTTTTTTTAATTTTTGCACATTATGAAATATTTATTAATTTTTTTAAATAATATTTTTACTCATTTTCTTTAATTCCATGATTTTTAATTAATTTTATCTTATTATTTTATTTGGAATCAATTTTTTGTTGTTATTTTTATTTGTATTTAAATATATTTAAAATGAATTAATTTAATAAATTATGACTAGTTGGAATATAGTTTGACCATTGCACTGTGTGTGAGACTTAGTGCTTGGATGACACCGGTCTGGTTTTTAATATTTCAATCATAAAATTTAATTTAATTATTTTAATTATATAATTAAAAAAAATAGGGGCCAATTAAAGCACAAACATGATCTCACATCTCAGGCAATATGAGTACTTTCTGCAGCACAAGTCTTGACCGATATTTGCCTCCAAAGGTGCGTTG